GGAAAATATATATGGGAGCTATATGCAAATCTGAATCGATTTTAATATAATTTGACTAATTTATTTTCTAATCAAAATCCCGTTACATATTCCAAATTTCTTCGGAATCGAACATACATATCGTGTATGGTGCATAAAATACATGAAATCGGTCGAAAATATATATATGAGAGCTATATCCAAATCTGAACCGATTTTAATATTTTTTGACAAATGTATATTTGTTTTAATTTCCGCTACACATTCCAAATTTCATTTAAATTAGAGATACATAGCGTGTTTGGTGCATCAAATACATGAAATCGGTCGAAAATATATATGGGAGCTATATCCAAATCTGAACCGATTTCAATTTAATTTGACAAATTCATCTTGGCTCCCAATTCCGTTACTTATTTTAAATTTCATTACAATTGGAAATACATGTCGTGTTTGGTCCACCAAATACATGAAATCGGCCGAAAATGTATATGGGAGCTATATCCAAATCTGAACCGATTTCAATATAATTTGGGAAATCAATTTTTTATATAAAATCTAGCACACGTTTCAAATTTCATTGAAATTGGGGATACATAGCGTGTTTGGTGCATCAAATGCTTGAAATCGGCCGAAAATATATATGGGAGCTATATCCAAATCTGAACCGATTTCAATATAATTTGACAAATTTATTTTCGGATTAAATCCCGTCACACATTCCAAATTTCATTGGAATCGAACATTCATATTGTGTTTGAGGCATCAAATGAACGAAATCGGTCGAAAATATATATGGGAGCTATATCCAAATCTGAACCGATTTCAATATAATTTGGCAAACTTATTTTTGTTCCAAATTCCGTTACGTATTCCAAATTTGGAGACTGTATCTTCAACCAATCAATAGATATGTGCATATAAAATCTAAATTTTTGGGAGGTACCTCCGATTCTGATGCTATATATCCAGTTCCAAGTGGAAATTCAAAAATGTATATAGCCTATGTTACTTTCAGGCGATGTTGCAGTATATATGGAAATTTTCAGGAAAATCTATTCAGCGGTTTTCGAGTCCATAAATTACAAACAAACAAACAAACAAGATAAATAGATAGAAGATATTTTTACTTGCGTTATGCTTATTCATACAATGAATGTTGTTCATTTCTTATCTGACCTACATATGTCTCACACAAAAGTACCAGATTTGGGCTACCTCATTCACTTTTACATGAGAAATGTAGTAATTTTTGGAAAATAAAGAAATGTGCATGAGGTACCAAATATAGTGGACCAGAGTATTCAACTTCATCTAATACTAAACAAGTAAAAAAATATTAAGTTCGGCCGGGGCAAACTTTTAATACCCTCCACTTTTGGGCAAAGGAAACATTAGAAGAAATATGGCAAAAACCATCAAAATACGGAATATCGGGAGGTACCGTTATGTGGGGACTATACCAGAACGTGGACCGATATATCTCATTTTCAATATCAACCATCCTAGACACAATACAAATAGCTCTGCTAAATTTTGGCGCTCTACGTCAAATAATGTGGGCTGTATCGTGATTTCAACAGACAGACGAACATCGTTAAATCGACTTAGAATTTTATCCTGATTATGAATATATATATACTTTATGGGGTCTAAGACGAATATTTAAGGATGTTACAAACGTGGAGGGTATAAAAAAATATTGGAATGAGCATCTAACATCTATTTCCAAGTTTATGCGAATTATTAATCAAAATTCAACCTTTAAAGGGGGAGGTACCACAAGGAGAGAGAATATGAATTCTATATTCACATCAGATCTCAGGTTACCAAGTTTTAAAAGAATACAAGTCAGCGATTCTTTTAAAATTTGGTAACCCGCAAATAATAAGATATATACATGGTGAGGCGATAAAACTGCAACCAACTTCAGAGTGCTGTCATTTCTAAGCCACTCGTCCGACAGCTTTTAAAATTATTCCAGTGACAGCTCATTATATTGTTTACAAGCGTACAAAAGCATTTTGGGGAGAATTTTCTAGTAAAAAGGTTATTCGTGATGGAATTCAAGCGTGATGGTGTGATTTCTTCATATTTGACTGGAAAACCACAAGTAATTATTGTTGTTGTTGTTGTTGTAGCAGTAGTACATGTATGTGTTTGCGTTCTGCTAATCTGGTTCCAGCTCCAGGTTTAGAAATTCGGCTATTTTAACGGGCTATAGCCAGAGATCTTCTGGAGTGCCCAATACCAATTGAGACGACTACACCATCCTGAACGTAATTGCGCCAAAACTCCCTAGTTTGTCTAGGCAGCTGACGTTCTTCAGCTGCAATGGATGGGGGGTGCACTCCGAAGTAACTATTGTTAGAGCACTCCTGCATTTAGATGTGAATAAATATTTTGTGTCTCGTACCATCACTCGTTACCGTGATACTGGTAGCGTAGCCCGACGCCAATGAATTAGACTTAAGAAAACAGCAATATCAGCAGAAATGGTTCGAAAAGTAAGGAAGCGACTTGATCGAAACCCTTTTCGCAGTGGCCGAAAAATGGATTGTGAGCTGAACATATCGCAATATTCCATTCGGCAAATATTGAAAAATTAGCTCGGGGTAAAGCCATTGAAGTTCCAAGAAGTGCCAGAACTTACACCGCAACAGAAAGAAAATAGACTCAATAGAGCTAAATAGTTGCCTCGCTTGGCCGAAAGTGGTGAACTGAACGGATCATCCTTTCTCTTTCTGTGCAACAAAATATTTTACTTTGAAAATTTCGACCTTAAGCAGGAGAGGTACCAGAAGGTGTGGACCGAAATTGCTCACCTTTAAACTCAATCTAAGTTTGACAATACTATTACGATGTACCAAGTTTGGACCAAATTGGATACTCCCGTGGAGAGTTATCGTGCGCACAAGCCAGCCAGGCAGACACACACACAGACAGACTCCTAAGGACACCACTTCATATTTTCCACATTTATATTTCGCAAATAATAAAAAAAAAATAGATTCTGGAACAGCATCAAATGGTAATTGTTATTGAAACCTCCCTAATATGCCAAATTAAGTGGTAACTTCAATCTTTTTTTAAGATTTACAGTTTTTGAAACACCCTTGAAAATCCTTAAGGACACCACTTCATATTTTCCACATTTATATTTCGCAAATAATAAAAAACAAGTAAAAAAGCAGTAAGTTCGGCCGGGCCGAACTTTGAATACCCTTTACGGATTAGAAAATTTTCAAAAAAATAAAATTATTTTAAAATCATTAAAATATCTAATAATACCGTAATATGGGGGCTATACGATATCGTGGTCCTATATAGATAATTCTCTGCCGAGGTATAAAGTACCCACAAGGAACTCCTTGTGTGGAATTTCATACAATTCCATTGAAAAATGTGGCTAAAATCATCAAAATACCGAATATTGGGGGGTACCGTTATATGGGGGATATACGATATCGTGGACCTATATAGACAATTCTTTTCGAGGGTGTAAAATGCCCACAAGGGACTCCTTTTGTGGAATTTCATACAATTCCATTGAAAAATGTGGCTAAAATCATGAAAATACCGAATATCGGCGGTACCGTTATATGGGGGCTATACGATATCGTGGACCTATATAAACAATTTCTTTTGAGGGGGTAAAATGCTCACAAGGAACTACTTGTGTGGATTTTCAAACAATTCCATTGGAAAATGTGGCCAAAATCATCGAAATGCCGAATACCGTTATATGGGGGCTATACGATATTGTGGACCTATATGGATAATTCTCTGTCGAGGTATAAAGTACCCACAAGGCACTACTTGTGTGGATTTTCAGACAATTCCATTGGAAAATGTGGCTAACATCGTCAAAATACCGAATATCGGGGGCTATACGATATCGTGGACCGATATAGCCCATCTTCGCACTTGACCTGCCTGCAGACAAAAGAGAGATCTGTCCAAAAAAAAGCTTCCTATCTTAATTCGTTTAGACTGTAGCGTGATTACAACAGACGGACGGACGAACAGACGGACGGACATGGCTAAATCGTCTTAGAATTTTACGCTGATCAAGAATATATATACTTTGTTGGGTCTAAAATGATTATTTCGATGAGTTCGATGGTGGAGGGTATAAAAATTAGATTCTGGAACAGCATCAAATGGTAATTTGTTTTTGAAACCTCCTTAATATGGCAAATTAAGAGGTAATCTTATAAATCTCTAAGAACCAGGATTCATTTTTAATGGCACCTTACTCATTCCGATCCACGGAGAAAGGTAATAACTAAATTGAGCACCATTCTTGCTAATTAATCACATTCATTCAAACACATACATTCAAAGCCTATCATATGCATTTAGCATAACATTTGTAATCTACCTCTCATGCTGCAAAGTATTTTATTTATATAACTTCTGATTTGCGCTCTCTATTAAAACTTAAAGCACAATCCACTGCTAACAACAATTAAATGGCTTAGCAGAATTTTCAGCAGAATTTTTTTATTTGGTATAAACACAGGCACACACACACACTGACACAATATGCATGCCATGGTGTTATGCTTAGATCGAAAATATTAAAGCAGCCAAGTGGGGATATTGTTCAAAGCAAAATAAACAAAAATAAAAATAATATTCTACATAACCAACAAAACCAATGCCAAAAAATGAAAAGAGCAAACTGTTAACATCTTACTAATACACTAACAATTCATTCTTGCACTGGCATTCCAAACCACAGGAATGGTTGCTGGTTAAACGAAATTGTTTTTCAAGACAAATCCCAAAAAAAAAAAAAAAAAAAAAAAAAGATTTAAAATTCTTTTTTCCAAAAATACACAAACCAAACGAGGGAGAGAGAGTGGTTGGCGATTCCAAACAACAACAACAACAAAAAGATGTGTACAACTTTCATTCATCCTGTGTGTGGGCTTGTGGAAACCAAAATGCTTAACATTAAAAACAAAAAATTGAAAAATAAAAATCACAAATAAAATTATTTGAAAAAAGTTTACCCCAAACGTTTTTGTCGCGCCTCTTTACGCCCATACGACAGGGGCAGCGTAAAACGTGTCACAATTCCTTCCGGGCCAAAGACATTTGACGGTATATTGTCCAACGAATCGGACAGGGAACGTGAATCCGACTGATCTTGTAAACTAAAATAAAAATTCGATTTTAACAAAATTTCAAATAAAATCCACAAAAAGAAACGCAAAAACAACAAATGATGTGAGGAAACATTCAAAAAAACCAAAAAACAATTTAATGGAAATGGGGGAAATATATCGAGAAAATGTATGTTTTATTGACTGACATGAACGAAATGGGGGCTGGAGGATGGCGATGGCAATTTCGATCCATAAAACATGGGGTTATGTCACACAAAAAAAAAACCCTGACAGATGTCGTCAATGTTTTCGAATGAAACCCAAATATGATTTTTGATTCATGAGAGAGAACTAGAGAGAGAGAGAGAGAGAGGGAGAGAGATTTGTAATTTGTGGCACCAGAAACTAATTCAAGTCACGTGAATTTTTAACAAATATTAATTCAAATGACTCAGGATCACAAAATAGGTTATTTTACGCTCGCTCGCCTTCTTAGGATACTTTTTACAAGGACTATCAAATCTCAAGGATTCAAAAAAAAAAAAAACAAGTAAAATAGTATCAGTCAATTTTGCCGACACATGTATACCCCCAGCCTTGAGATATGAACGTAACAGACTTGGACAATATCGACTACTTCTTGTACTTTATATGAGATATGTGCAAATTTTCGGAACATGGAAATATGCGACAGGTAACAGATAAAGCGGACCGAAGTATTTCATTCTCATACTTCATCTAATAGAGATAAAAATATTGGTATGTGCAAAATAAATGCCGACAAATTACATATTCATATCAGAATACTGGTTAAGAGAAATATTTAGATATAGCAAGTTGTAAAGAATCGCAGAGGTACCAGAAAGGGCAGATGTATATCATCTTCACAACAGATCTTGCGTTAGCAATAATGTTCGTTTGTGGGAAATTTGAGGATATGGATGGGTGCATTTGGATGCTTCTTTCGAATTCCTTGAGCGTTTTGTTTTTAAAAATCTTGAACCCTATGTGGGGAGGTACCAGAATGATGAAAATATTGTGAAGCACCAAGTCTGAATGGAATCTGATGGTAATTTTGCGTTTTATGAACTTCGTGGATACTCAAAATGTTGACCCTTTGTTTGGGAGGTACTTGAAGGATTGGACCGATATATCCCATCTTCACACCAGATCTAGAGTTAGTAGAAATAATGGGACGTGCGTAATATGAAGAGAACCGAATGTTTATTTCGAATTCTTAGCTCGTTTTGATAATTCAAAACTTAGGTCCTTTGTGTGGGAGGTACCACAACGAATGGTCCGATCTCTACCATCTTTATAGAAGATCTCGTGTTTATGAAAATATTGAGATGTGCAAAGTCTGAATGGAATCGGCTGTTAATTTAGTGTTTTAAGAGCTTAATGGATATTCAAAATTTCGACCTTTTGTGTGGGAGGTACCAGAAGGCGTGGACCGATATATTCCATCTTAACACCAGACCTTGGGTTAATATAAATATTGGGATGTCTGAAATTTAAAGACAATCGGACTCTTACATCAAATTTTATGAGAGTTGTAATTAGTCAAAATTTTGATCATTTGTGGGGGAGGTACTTGATGGAGTGGACCGATATTGTCCATTTTCACACCTGACCTAGCACTGACGCAAATATTAAGATTTGCAAAGTTGGAGCAAAATCGGATTATCGTTTCTCTTTCTGTGCAAAGAATATTTTTTTTTTGCAAATTCCAACCTTTTGTGGGGAGGTACCAGAAGGAGTGGACCGATATTGCTCATCTTAACACCAGAGCTTGGGTTAATATGAATATTGGGATGTGTGAAATTTGAAGACAATCGAACTCTTACATCACATTTTATGAGAGTTGTAATTATTCAAAATTTTGACCATTTGTGGGGGAGGTACATAAAGGAGTGAACCGATATTGTCCATTTTTACACCTAACGTAGAACTGATGCAAATATTAGGATTTGCAAAGTTGGAGCAAAATCGGATTGTCCTTTCTCTTTCTGTGCAAAAAAGAAAATATATTTTTTGCAAATTTCGACCTTTTGTGGGAGAGGTACCCGAAGGAGTGGGCCGATATTGCTCATCTTAACACCAGACGTTGGGTTAATATAAATATTGGGATGTGTGAAATTTGAAGACAATCGGACTCTTACATCACATTTTATGAGAGTTGTCATTATTCAATATTTTGACCATTTATGGGGAGGTACTTGATGGAGTGGACCAATATTGTCCATTTTCGCACCAGACCTAGCTCTGATGCAAATATTAGGATTTGAAAAGTTGGAGCAAAATCGGATTATCCTTTCTCTGCCTGTGCAAAGAATAATTTTTTTTTTGCAAATTCCGATCTTTTGTGGGGGAGGTAGAAGTTTACCGATATTGCCCATCTCCAAACTCGATCTAAGTTTGACAAAAATATTACGATGTACCAAGTTTGGATCAAATCGGATACTCCCTTTGAGAGTTATCGTGCGCACCAGCCAGCCAGCCAGACAGACGGACGGACGGACGGACATGGCTAGATCGACTCAAAATCTTCTGAAACGGATTTGGTCCAAAGAGACCTAGGGTCTAAAACCGTTATTTCGACTAGGCACGTTTTGACCAATCCCACTTCCTACAGGGTAAAATATTTTGACAGAAGTCAAAATATTTTAAAATAATCGAACATTGGCTGATGGTATACACCTGTCGGCAAAACCAATTGATACTTTTTTACTTCTTAAATCCCCAATAATCACTTATCCGACTTTTACAAAAAAAAATATTCATAATTTAGTTTAAAAAAGCTTCTGAACCACTGTGCACGATATACGAGTTAAGCAATTGCATTTCAGCATTGAATCTTCCTGGATTTTAGTCTTTTCAGATGTCTCAAATAACCCATTACAGTTAACATATCATCAAGTCCAACTAAAACAGGGCAAGGCAGGGAGCCTCAAAAATTTTTTGTGATTGTATGTGTTTTGAAATAACAAAATATTGCAAGTGTTTTTTTGCCTTTCTTTACAGAGTGAGAAATAATTGGTTATCTTTAAATATCCAATTTAAAATTTTCCGTTTTAAAAACAACTTCGTTGTTAAAAATTAATATTTTGATCAGACAATTCAGAGATATATTTGCACAGTTATTTCAATTATGTTTCATTTTAAAATAAAAAAATTATAAAAGTTGACATTTTTAAAAATTTAATATAATTTTTATTAAAAAAAAATTAAAAAAAAATATTAAACACAAATAATAATTTCGGACTTAACATCCTAACCATCTAAGTTGATCCTTTAAAAATTAATACCGATTACCACAGGCTGACATACGCAAATAGTTGTAGATCAGAAACGCATATCCTGCGTTGGGCCCTAAAATATTATGTCTATGAATGACAAACAGAATGACAAACATCACATCCTGTTATTTTCCCTAATATTGACTAAGAACGTACATATAATTTCAGAGAAATCAAGGGATATGAAAATGTCCATTAATTTGGAAGGACAATAAATTTGTCTAACAATATGAAATAAATTTCTATTCCTAACATGTGAATTCGTATGCAAATTTTGTCAAATAGAGTTCAATTAAAAAATATAAATCTTAAAATTTATAATTTTTACAAATTCGGAAATATTTGTTCCGAATATGTAGTAAGATATATTTGTGCTCCAATATTTCTTACCGTGTATTCATCAACAAAACAATTAATTTTTTACAATTGTGTTGGTGAACACACAGATATCCCAAGGGATACTCTTTGCCTAGCCTCGAACTAAAAGGAGCCATTGACAGCTCAAAAGCCTTTTAATTTTAGAAAATGCAATTAAGATATCCCATCTAGACCAAACAACTAAAAACGACAATTAAAAATATTACCAAACCAAACAAAAAAAAAAACCGAATCAAAAGTTGAGAGCTTTCTGTTAATTATAAAAAAAAAAAAAACTTTGATGATTGTGACACATGACTTCATTCTTTGACAAGTCACATTCAAGGCTGTTAAATGTTTTAACTTTAAATGTAAAAGAGGAAAATTCGCCAGAAACATATCGCTCATTTCCTGAAAGAATGGTATAACTCAAAAAAATGCATTTTTCTGTGCGTATTTTTTTTTTTTTTTGAGGGAGGTACCAAAGGGATTGTGCCGGTATATTCCAACTTCACACTAAATCTTATGTTGATAGAAATATTGGGATGTGTCGAGTTTGAAGGTAATTGGATACTAATTTCGCTTTTTATGAGGTTCATGGTTCATTCGAAGTTTTGGCCCGTCTTGGGGGGAGTGGTCCAGAAGAAGTGGTCCGTTCTATCAGATTTCCATACCAGATCTTGTGCTGGTAGAAATGTTTAGATGTGAGAATTTTGAAGGAAAGCCGACTCTTATTTCACATTTTATAATGATCTCTTCTTTTTCTAGAGAGTAAACTATTTTCTTTAAAAATATTGACCTTTTGTGGGGGAGGTACCAGAAGGTCTACTCGATATTGCAATGCATCAAGACAGACACACCTAAATTGACTCAAAATAACCTGAAATGGATTTGGTCCAAAGAGGCCTAGTGTCTAAACACTTATTAAGGCAAGTTTTGACTGTGTTAAATGATATAAGAGTTGTGTAGCCATATTGCTGAGGGAATAAAAATTCGATATTGAGTTCCCAATTAGTAGGACCTTTGGAGGTGAAGTTTCTGGAATGAGAGGATAAAATGTCTCCCTTTGCTATCCTTACGTGTGGCTCATGCAAATATAACGATGTACCAAGTTGAAAAAATATGGGATACTACCTTGGCTCAACATGAGTTTTTGAGGTTTTGAGGCTAAGTTTGACAAAAATCGAACGCTGAGTTTAAATTTAACGAGAGTTCGTATTTAAATAATTGACTTTTGAGAGGTGCTAGACGGATTGAGTCAAAATATTAGACGTGTATCGGCGTTTTGAAAGTTTACATCGAAAAGTAACTAAGTTCCGCCCTCTTCCACACTTTTAAAATTTTCAGTTTAAGATTCCTCGGAATCGGGCCATTTAAGGCATCTAGTGTAGC